AAAAATAATGAAAAAAAGTGTTCGTGATAATAGGAAAAATTATAACGAAAAGGGGGAGCAATACACAACACACAATCAAGACAAAATTTGATATCGCTGCTAGAAATACAGAACGGCTCCTGCGTGTGTGTGTGTGTGTGTGTATGAAACAAATATTTATTTTAATTTTGAGCTGATAAACGCGCTGTGCGAATCAACTTACTGACGTGCGAGCCAATTAGCTGACGAACGTGATGATTGACGACGACGTTTGTGTATCACCGAAATTTCCAACGCCATTTTTTTTTCACATTTCGTTTCCCTCTTTTCCAGCGCCTTTTGCACGCCTCACCTCTTTGCTTTCTTCTACCGCACCCTCCTTTGTTCTGCTGTCATATTCTCAAACACTTGTCTCAAACAACTTGTCCAACAAAGTGGCGCTATGCGTGATAACTCGCCAACGCTGTGACCAACCAGCTGAGCGCACGAGTCGATGGCCCGCCTACTCGCCTGTTATAAGTGTCTCGTATATCAAAGCAACAATTTATGAGCTAGGTGTGAGTGAGGATGCGGGGTGCGGAACCCCCAATGGTACTGCTTCTACAACTGTCACTACAATTGCGAATCAGCAAAAAATGCGGTTATATGCTAGAAAGTTTGTTAGGCAGTTAGATTGCTAGATTGTTAGGCTATTACTCTCAACAGCACGAATCTCAAATATTTTTATGGCACTTCAGTAAACGCTTGTACTCATGTGGTATGACTTAGCGCAACAAGCTCATATATCACTGCATTTTATGGTACCTTCTTTAGCAATAGAACCACAACCTCGCTTGGCCAGCAGCCTCCCCACTCCAACCTTCAATTGTCGCTTGAAACTTTTATTTCAGCTGCTTGAAAATTTCAAGTATATCAACGGTGGGTACCAGTACCACCAACGCGGTGTTGTAGGTACAACCTTTCTATTTTAACAATGTTCTGCAGAACAATCTCATGTTATGGTGTTGTTTCGTAGTCATTACTACGTAGTACTATGTGATATTCTGAATTCTATTCTGATGACGCTTCTGGAATGTTTTCTACTTAATTTGCTTGAATGACGAGGTGCGCACTCTCGTTATTTTTTTTGTTATTTTGTATTGTTGCTGCTGCCTTTGGCGACACCAATGATGTGTAATTTTATTTGTTGTTTATTAGTTGAACACTTGTTTGTTTTATGAGTTACTCGAGAGCTGTACTTGAATTGAGAAGTGTTTTAGTGGCGTCGATATTTTTTTTTTGCTTTAAAAAATTGTCTATTTGAAGTGCTGGTACTGTGCTCTTTGAGTGGGTACATGCAGTGAATAGCGCGAAGTCATTTTGTGGTAATTGATTGGCGAGAAAAGTTTAGCCGTCGGCGAAGAGTGGCGCAAGAGTGTGAATTCTGCTCTATTTTTTTTTTTAGCTGTCGGGCTAATTTTTCTTATAAGGAAACCTAAACCTATCAATCGAATTAGTTAGGGACCCTAGAAACAATAAACCTGATTACTATTTGAACCATGGATTCGTTGTCCGTTTCGTTCGATTGACGATTAGAACCAGCAAGATAAATACAAATACAAATCTTATACGAAAGGAAAGGTCAGTAATATTAGAGTGAACCACTAAGCGTATGGAAAAAGGAGACCGTGACACAGCAGGTGTCCAAAAATTTACGCAAAAGTAGTGTTTAGGTCAGTCCATAGACCATGTAGACCAGAAAGCCTAGTGTGTCCATAAGAGCATGGCTTCAAGTGTTTAACCAAAATACTTATATCTCAAACAATTATTTTCTAAAATTTCGTTTAAAGTTCCGAAATCTGTATATAGATCCGGCCTTCCGCATTGACTCCTGTTTTCATTCTCACCGGTTGTAAAAGATTCACCGTTGTTACCTAGCCACTAGACAGATTAGTTTCTTCCAACGCGTCTCATAGTATCCTTTAAGTATACACTTCGGTCTCTTCCCCCTGTTTTTGTATGAAAGTAAAGAACTTTTTTATGCGGCTTTCTGAGGAACGCATGTACCGCATAAAAAGAGACCTAAGTGTACTTAGTATATACATATACTGACAGCGATTCATCTAGCGCGTATCCCCAGTGGTTTCAGGCTTATACTACGGATTTCGGATTGAAGTCTTGCTTAGTCGATAAACACAGCACCCTCCTTTTGCAGTACTGAAATATTGTTCTCAGTGTTTAGCAGAGAAACCAATATACTTTCGAACACATTACTTGGAAATCCGGGTTGTGCCCATACTATCCATCCAACTAGGGGAGGTCTTCCACAAAAAATCCCGATATTTTTTTTAAATGTATTGTTATCAGCTTTTTCTAGTTCAATCCGTAGCATTGGTTATCGGTGGATGTGTTGTACATTTTTATAGACTTTATCTGACTTCCAAATATGGAAAAGTATTTTTTAGTGTCGATTTAATTGTAAGATCGCTGCTTATTTGGACTGTTTTGCTTTCCTAATTAATTAGACATAAGAAAATTCACGTCGTTCAGATAACCGGTGTTAGATTGATAGGACCTGCAATGATTACGTCCAAATATGGGCGATGTTTGACAGTGGAAAAGAAAGATATTTGCAGGGAGATAAGATAAACAAGAAATAGTGACGCAAATTTGGAGTTGCTTGAGTAGGGCTGAACGGGAGAGAGACACGAGGAGAATTAAAGAATGATGAAAAATATGCGAGAAAGATAAAACATATAGATATGCACAAACTCATATAAGTATTTCGAAAAAAGATCGAAAATCTTTTATGTAAAATATTTTTTTTTGATTTTATTAAAAAAAATTAAAATTTAGATGTTTGTTTAAACAAAAAAAAATCGAATTTTTTTTTCTTAATATATATTTCTACATATTTGAAAAAATTTAATTCAAGCGTTCGGACTTTTGGAAAATATAAATTTTTTAAGAAAACAAAATTTAAAAATTGAAATTTTTTCAAAGATAATTCATTTCTCTACATTTTTTTCAAGTATGTACGATATTCTTTTAATTTTTTTTGTTCATATGTATCTCATATTTAGGCGCGAAATCTTTAAAATTAATTTAATATTTGTACATTTATTAAAAAAATATGAACCTACAAATTTTACCTCAGCGTATATTGTGATTTTTTACCTAAACAAAAACATTTCTTTTGAAACAAAAAAATTTAGAGGGGTTTTAAAAATATATATATGTATTGTATACTATTTACATATTTGCTATTGTTAAATTTCCTAATGAAACCGTTTTTGTCCCGTCGTGTCTCCTTTTTACCAGGATTTAGTCGAAGTTTTTCTTCAAGAAAATTCTTGTTAGCTGGTTAAAAAAAATATCGCTTAAACCAGACATTTAAAAAAAGAACATTTTTTTAAAATATATTTCTTATATTTTTTATTATTTTTCATGTGTGTTAATTAGCGTGCCTCTTCAGAAAATTAGCTCTTTTCCCAACGCAAGTATTACATTTATTATATTTGAAAACTTCTGCTAAAACATTTCGGAAAAATATTAAGATTTAGTTGAGTTGGACCGATTTGAAAAGACCTTCAAAAATCTACTTTTTTTTATCAATAAAATGAATTTTGCAAAGTAGTTTTTTTTCCAAAAATCACCACAGATAATATAAGAGTTTATTAGCTTATAAAATCTGTATACAAATGTACAGCTATTTTCAAATCGGATATCGATGGAAAAACTCTACCGATTATTATTTTTTGAATGAAGAGTGATGCACCCTAATGCTACTTTTCTTTTAAGAATTCTGCGAAATTAATAAGACACTACATTTTTTGCTGCCCCACGCGTCGTGTTTTTACAAAATTTAAAATAAATTTAAAAAAAATTTAGTAGTTATATTTGGTTTTATTTTGTAATTTTGTTTTACACAAAAGGTCTATAATAAAAATATTTCTTTATAACAAAGTTGTAGATAGTCGTATTTTTATAAATTTTTTTCAATGCGTTTGCAGATCTGTTTAGTTGTTCTCTGAAAAGTAGCAACGAATAAAATTATTGAAACTTTTAAATAAAAAAAAAAACAACGGAATATTGAAAATTTTCTTTTCGCAATCGATTTTTCTCTTTAACTTCAAGAAATAAATTTAAAGTTTAAAATTTTTTAGTTTATTAAAAAATTGTTTCGAAATTTTGTAGGAAATTACAACAAAGGTTTTTTGGGTTTTCATTATTTATTGGTTTATTGGAAAATTTTTAAATTGTTGATTTTTCTTACAAGTTACATACAGTTTTAACGGGTTTTTATTTAATTTGTATTTATTTAAATTTCTTTACTTAAATTTAAGTTTTAAACTAAGTTTAAGGTATACTTTCTGCTTAAAATTATTTTTCATGTTTGGAGTGGCTTGTATTGCATAGTAAATAAGAAAAGTACTATTTTACAAGAATTTCTATAGAAAATCTGGAATTCTATGTAATATTTACAAAAAAGAGTTGAAAGCTTCAGAAAAGTGAATAAATTGAAAAGGAGCTAATTGTTGAAGATTTTTGTGCTTTGATGAGAAAATATTTACAAATTTCTGATAATTTAATTTTGCATAAAATTATTTACATTTTTTCGCTAAAAGTCAATTTTTTTTGTTTTTATTTACCTTTTTTTATTACATATTTACAATTTCGTGCTAAATGGCGCTTCCATATTTTTGTTTTTCAAATTTTCTTTTAAAAAATTTTGTTTGTTAAACTTTTTTACTACTAATTTTATTGCACCTAATTTTTACACACATTCTTTCAAATTTTAAATTTATCATTTTGCTTCATTTTTTCTGGCCTTTTGAAATTATTGTCCAATATTCGAGTAGCGCCGCCAAAAGCACCTGCCGTCTCAAAAAATTATTGAAAAAAAAAACTTCCCAATCCAAGTTCCGCTTATCACCCAACGTGCTTTTCCTCAATGCTGCTGTTGTCACACGCTTGCAATTGTCGCCGGCACCCAGCTCTCTCTTTCACTGATTCTCACACTGCGCTTGCTCCAGCACCACGCCTCCACAACATTCTATCCATCAGCCCTCAGCAATATTAGGGCCACCAGGGGCGCTGATGTGGATGCGCATGCGCTGCGTGTAAGCCCGCTGCCGCCGCTGCTGCCGCATGCTGATACGCCGCCGCGCCATTCGCGTGCAGCACCAAGTGATGCGCTGCTGCAGCGTTCTGCATCTGCTGCGTCATGCAATCCTGCGGCAGTTTTGTGCCATCCGCTAGGCATGGTTTTCCATTGCGCACCAACACCGGTACCGCAACGCGACGTGGCGAGGGCAGAGCGGCCGCGTGATGGGGATGCATGGCGGGGTGATGCTCGTAGACGCCCTTCTCATTTTGTGCGCGTTTCGTCTTGTAGCGGTGGTTCTGGAACCAGATTTTCACTTGCGTTGGTGTCAGGCGTATTAGACTGGCGAGGTGCTCACGCTCTGGCGCCGATAGGTAACGTTGCTGGCGGAAACGTCGTTCTAACTCGTAGGTTTGCGCCTTGGTGAAGAGTACGCGACGCTTGCGTTTCTTGTTCGGCATACCATCGGCGCCGTTGGTGGAGCCATTGCCGCCATTCTCCTCGTCATTCTCGTCGTCCATGATCTCCTCTTCGATGCCGTCCTCGATGAGGCTGTCATCGTGCGCATTGGAGGAGGAACCGCCGGCGCTTGTGTTGTCGGCACCGCCGCCGCCGCCACCAGCGCTGCCTGGCATGCTCTTGTTGTGCTGCTGCTGGAGGTGGGCGTGCAGCTGTTGGTGAGCTGCAGAGCCGGGGTGGGGTTGCATGTGCATCGAATTAGCATCGCCGACGGAAAGCGCATCGCTTTCGGCGGAACGACTGTAGGTCTTATAGTCGCCGGATAGCGCTGGCGAAGTCTGGCAATTGGAGCCGATGTAGGTGTAGGAAACCTCCGAGGTGTGTGGCGAGGTACTGTCAGGACTGGCTGGCTGTTGAATACCTGCGGAGAAAAGTAAAAGAGAAATTCGTTGATTAGTTTGTGTTGTCGGATGGGCGATTTAAGTGGGGCAGGAGATGTTCAGAGTCAAGGGTAGATTTGAAGAATGCACGCAGACTCCCTCAACTTAATCTATTAAATTTTTAAGGACATATTATGATTCGCATAGGCAAAGGTTTGTGGATTAGGTAACTACAATTAGAGGAATATTGATTAGGTTACATAGTAGGCTTTTTCAAATTCCTTGAATTTCGATACGCAGTTTCCTGTAGGGAATAAAAGGTTCCACAGAACAAGATTCGGGGTTGACTGCTATCTCTACGACAGAGGTGGTTAACATTTCGAATCAATGATTTTTGGCGCAGTCTCGATCCGCCATTGTCTCGTTCTGACCAATAAGGGACATGGACACTTCTGTAAGTACTTTTTCGGACGCCTAACGACCCTGATTAAGCGCGTTGTCTAACTTCTCAGTTTTATATAACAGCAGGAAGAGCCTTCGAGAGGGTTTCTAACTAATTTTTTCTGGGTTGCTTCTAGTTCGGTGTGTTGTTCGTTTTTTAATTTCTTCGAGCTCTTCACCATAATTGATGTAGCTTTCCAGCTCAGCTTTCTAGAGGACACACCAATTCAAGCTATCGCTTCGAGAAGTTTCCCATACGTTTTTTTTACTACTTGTACGTTTTTCCCCCAACTGAGTCAGGTCTTCTTCAACCGGCTAGGAAACTCACTGTCTACTTTTATGCTGAAATAAAGTACGCCGCCTTTTAAAAGGAACTTTTTCAAACCGGCTCCTAGTATTCCTAGTTTTCGCATTCCTCTTCAGTGCCTTTTGTTCCATTTCGCAGCGCTCTAATACCCTTGAGCTATTAAAAATCCAATTTGTCTTTATTTCCATTCAATTGTAGCATCTTTTTGTCATTGTTTTCCTATTGCAATACAATTCCCCTATTCTCCTATTTAGCAATAATCGTAAGCCTATACTCTCTCTTCTCTCTCTCATTCGCGCAGTCGCAGGGGTAAATCCTGGGCGTCAACCCTACCAAATACCTTAATTTATTAGCCTCTAAACTCCCAAACAAGGCACAATAGGAGGGCAAATAAACAGTGTTGCTGTCAATTTTCGTAATTTGGGCGGAAATAAATTGTCGTACATCAAAAATTTACAATCATTTCATTCCTTCTTCCCGCCTTTTGTGCATTTGTGTGTGCGTAGAGCGCGCAATCTCATAATGCTGCAACAAATACTAAACAATGTGAATGGCAAACCGGAAGGATGGCACATGGATTATATCACACCTTCATTTGAGGTTTTCACTTTTCACACACAAAACGCAATTGAGTCTGACAAAGGGCGGACAAGCGAGCGACGTTTAATTGTAGTCTGCAGCGATCGAACGGCGAGCGAGGGGAGCTCAAATGACGCAACATGAAAACGATCTACGGCAGGGAGTTGCCGGCGAAGAAGGCAATCACTATGAGCGAACGGCTATTTCATAGGCGATCTAAATACGAAGAGACTATGTCGCATTGAGCGATCGGTCGGTCGGTGCATCGTTTGGTCAGTCACGAGATAACTGACACTGTTTAGTCCGAGTCAGCGGAAGTGCTGGAAGTAGGAAGTTATTGAAAATTCAAGAAAAAAGATGTGTAGAGAAAAAATCGAAAAAAAAATCACAGCAACCATTGCTTTTAGGGTGAGCGACCAGGACTTGAGCAACATTTGTCCTAAATACCAAGTATGAGCGAGAGCGCATTTGTATGTGGCTTGTTCTGAGGTGTAATAGTAGTTGCATTTTGTGTGATTTTGTTGCTGTTTCTTTGTTTCTCCTTTTATGTGGTGGAAAATGATGAATGAACAGAATAGTCTATTACTGCAGCGTTAGCTCAGGTAGAGAGGAAGTAGGAAGACCTCGTTATTGTAAATGCGCTGAGATTGATAGGATTGTGAAAACTGCAGGCGGTTTGGGTATTTAATTGATGCTATTAGTTTATGAATAGAGCGCAAAGGAAAAAGGCAGCCATACTACATATACTTACGATGAGCATGGCTCTTTTTTATGGATGCTAGGAGACTAACTCAGACTCAGAGAGAGAGTTATTCCTTTTAAAGTTGGAAATTAAATGTGTTTTGTTTCTTAAATGCCTTCTCGGCTTCAGAAATGGCTATAAAGAGTACTACTGGCATACTCCTGTCCTGCTAGAGTGGGTTAGGATTGGATTATAGGATGGGATTGGATTGGAGTATTGGTTTGGAATATTGGATTGGAGTATTGGTTTGG